TGTTTAAAGCATGCAAAATATTGCCAATTTCAATAATTGCAGTTACTAAATTATAGGGGCGTCCAATGGGGAATGGTGGATGTATTCTGCCGAACGGACAGCCGTACCTAATGGCACTCCGAAAAGAGTACAGAATGATGACAGACAATGAGAGAAACAGGTTTGACGTCTGACCTGCTATTATGAAACAATCCTTAAGGGTGTTGCTCAAGCACAACTTGATTGTTTCGAACCACAACTGCAACAATTTCTGACATAGGAACTAGATGCAAACTGTTTACTCGCTTCTATTGGCTAGTGAAACGTTAAACGCAAATATACGGTCATTTGGGCTTTGAATTTGAGGGATGCTTTTTTTATTTAAGGCATTTGATTTCATAGACTAAACCACTAGCAACATTTATCATTCAACAAATAATTCATATTTAACCTGGAATTATTACGAGGTTGAGCTATTCAGATGGAACAACGCTATACTCCAACTTAAAAGAAGTGGTGAATACGACAGACTTAGTGTTATGCATAGACAAGTCAGTTTTCAGCGCTAATTTCCGCTTACTCTAGCCCTTCTTTAGAAGAAGTATTTTTGCAGGTTGGTTCCTCATCGGGTGCTCACTCAGGTCCAGGCTTCTTGCCATGGCACAGGGAATATATGAAGAGGTATGGAATTTGGTACAAGATTTCAATTTTTGTTGGCCCATTCACCTGCAATAGCTTTTCAGAGTCGAGATCGCCGTTCGAATGATCGATCCTGGTGTTTCGATGCCATATTGGGACTCCGTTATGGATTCGTACTTGCCTGACCCGCGTGACTCCATTCTTTTCTCCCCATTATTTATGGGAGATACCGACGGTGCTGGTCAAGTGGTTCGCGGCCCCTTTGCAGGGTTTAGAACTCTTGAAGGTAGACCCAATATCCTCAGGTAACTTAGTGGACTTGCTTCCACTTTATTCACGGAAGAAATGATAGTGCCTTAGGCGACTTGCGACTGAAGGAAAACTTTTCACCGAGGCAAACATCAACAATTTATTGAGCCAAAACGAAATTCAGAATGTCTTGGCTTACACCGCACCCCAGAATGGTAGGTGATGTTGACATTTGCATATTTTCACGTAGAACATCACTATAAATAGTCTTTTGTTACGAGAGTGGTGCTTCTTTTCATGCATCGCTATTGTAGCACGCTAAGAGGAGGGCAGCTACTGGTTTTGTGTATACGGACACTTAGGCGCTGTTGCAAGGCGGTAAGCGTTCAGAAAGCAACCTACTGCAAGAATTTGCACCTACTTTCTCATTCGTCTTTCAGGCCTTGTTAATAATTCAACACTTGGGGAACAATAAAATTTGATCACAAAAAAGTACACAGAGTTTATGATAATTTTCAAAAAATCTGTTCACAATCCTCTCAGAAGTTGATAAATGCGCTTTTTGGGAGGATAAAATCACTACTTTGATTATGGCTGGTTTCGCGAATCATGTATAGGCTACTGAACCCCGAGTGGACAGTTGACATATCGAAAAGAAGCAGTCGGTCAACGTTGAAAATCATTCTTCATCTCGAAATTAGTTTTAAACTTTTAAGTTCTCCTAGAAGTGACCTGATCGCACGTGTGTAGTCTATTAGGACATAAGAAATGTACGAAGAAGCAAGAAGTCATCAAAATTGCTGTGAAATTAGGCCACAGTTAGACTCAAATCAAAAGGGCTAACCTCTAAATCCAAATTTTTTTGAATTGATAACCTGGCATCGTGTAAATGAGTTTTCTGAATCGAATATAAAGAAAACAAGGACGTACGCGCCAATAAAAACGGCGATAAAATTAGGATATTCCATAATATAGCTAAATTCCTGTGATTGCTTTAAACTTGAACTCTAAAAATGTGTTCTTTTACAATTAGGTGAATACTGGGCAATGTGCGAGTAAATAGGTCCATAATTGTCA